ATAATAATAATAATAATATATATATATATATATATATATATATATATATATATATATATATATATATATATATATGCACATATTATGATGATTAAGGGATAAATTATAAAGGTATATACTTGAAAACTTCTCTGATTGCAACCTAATCCTCAGTACTTTATCAATCATTATCATTGAGATAAAGAATGAAAAAAGCGAAAAAACTGATCAGGAATTGGAAGTAATTCTTGTCCATAGTAATTATCAATGTTTAATTTGCATACAATTTATTCGGAATTATTTTTGTTACATGTAAGGACTAGCTAAATTAGAGAAAATATTGTTTGAATTGTTTCAAATTGAAATAAATCACATTATCGTAATTCAGAACATTTTAGTACCATCTACTTAACGGATGAAATAAAATAAATAGTCAAATGATAAACAATGAAACCGATATCAAATGATATCATTTGTGTGTTTAGCGCTATTAGCTGAATCTAACTCTTCAAATAAATCTAATTTTTTTCTTCGAAATTAGCTACTGAAATAATTTCTTCAATTACAGAAGATGTCAATTGAATTAAGCTCATTTGGATGTTTTGTCAGCAGATGTCCAAATAAATGCATGAGACACTTCATTTATATTTGTCATTCTGTTACAGTGAGTAATGGGGCTTAACGCCTTAGCTTCTGCGATACCTTTTCATTTCCTGTCAGATACAGTTGACATTTGGAATCGATTAGCATCAAAACAATTATCATATTGGTATGCTCTATTTGTTTGCATTTTTTTCTTTTCAGAATTTTTGAAATTTCAACGAACGTCTGGAAAATATTTAATTTTTTAAGCCAAAATAGAAAAGAAACGATTAAAGGAGATAATCATGAACACTAAATCAGGATTTGATCGATCAGTTTTCGTTCCGTTTCTCTCATATCCTGCACCTCTTTTCAGGACGACAAATTTTTTCATCTCTTTTATTTTTTATTTATTTATTCTTTTTTTTTTTTTTTTCGAAATAAACTCTGCAAATCAATTTTTCCTATCAACATAAGGATGGATTACTCCATCTTGTCCTACATTTAATCGAAATACCATTTTTAGAAATATTAAAATTAAAAACGATTAGGATTACAAACTTCATAATCTAGGCTCGATACTCGATGACTAATCAAAAATTTATATTATTATCGATGATGACTGCGGTAATAATTTGGAAAAAAAAAAAAGTACCCCTTCTTTTACATCAAATTATGATTGCACAGCCGAAAAAGTCAACAAAAAAATTTGGATAGAATGAAATATTGTGGTACTATGATTCAACCACTTGATGTTCATATTATTACTGTTAACATTTCATATTTTATGTAACTTTCACAATTCCTGATTTATAAAAATAAAAATTATTAATGATATGATGGTAATGTTTAGTTATTATCAAATTTCATCATTATAATAGTTGCAAAAATTAAATGAGAAACAAGGAATAGACTTTGTATAGATAATGAACGAATATGGTACATTTTGATTTGGTCCAGTATTAACAGCTGAAACCGGATAATAGCAAATTATATATCATTGAAAGGAAAAAAAAAAGAATGAAACATGTAAGGATCATTTCATCAAATTCAAACTTATTGCTTTCATATTCTGTTATCATTACAGGTGTAAACCGATTTCTTTCAAAAAAAAGAAAGTGTAATTTTGGTTTTTTTTTTTTTTGCTTCTAATTTCTTAATTTACCGATAGAGAATTTGATTTTTTTTTTTTGGGTAAATTTCGTAATTTTTCGGTTTAATTTAAATTCTTATTCGAAAAATAACAACAACTTTTCTCTTTTAGTCAGCTAATATTGCAAATGTTTTGATCAGATGAGAGTTGAAAAAAAAAAAAAAGAAGAAATTCCTGATATTACTGAACGGAACTGAACGTGTTAAATGATATTAATGATGTCATTTATGGTAGCTATAAAATCAACTATAATTATAAGGTATATTTGTTTACAAAAGAAAAAAAAAACCTGATGCAATCTAATACAATGCTAAATAATACACAATAATAGAATTAATCCTTTCCGCTAGCCGATAGAAAAAAAAAAAAAAAAACAAACAAAAGTTTAAAATTGAAAATAAAACCTTTTCTTCTCTGAATGATACTCTTTGACAATAAATCATGTCATCCTTCTTTGCGCATCCATTTGCTTTGATAAAAGTAACATATTTATTTCAGCGTTAATGATATTCCTTCCTCCCATCGTATCCATCCATTAATGAGAGGAAGAAAATTATGAACTTTCTTGGATCACACTAATTAGGTTCGAAAAACTTATTGACTAATACAAGCAAGATTGAATCCAAAATTTATCTGAATTTAGTGTAGCAAGGTAGATTGAGATTGAGAGAAAAAGGGTTTTCAAATATGCAAATATCTTTTATTCGAAAATTTATCATATCCTTTTTCATGTTTCAATAGCAGTCAATCAGCTTTGATAGGAATTGAAAATATTACATTAAACAAATTTCGGGATAAGGAAGCCGAAATGAATCTGTTCTGATGAGGACAACACCAAAATGCATCCACCATTAGGTTGATAAGCCTGTTTGCTAAATCCAAAACTGCGAAATGCAAGATATTTCTTGCAAAGATAAAAGACATAGATGTTTGAATGGTATTTCGAGCACTATTATAGCCGGATTACATGCTTAAGTGGGAATACTTGAACGAAGGAAAAGCTTCAGTGACTTGTTTTTGTTATCTAAACCTAAATTATTAGTCTCCGTTTGCATATTCCTCTACAAAAGGTGACACCTAATTCCGGATTCAAAAATATACTTCGATAATCATGCAGACAGCTTTTGGAACCGACATTTCTACTTACTATGCGAAATTGCATAACTTTGTGATACTTCTTCCAAATAACTGTCCATCGACTATTCTCCTTTTTAAAACGTTTGTGCACCTCATGAATTGCAACTGCTCAAATTCTCCGTATCCAGATCCATCACTAAATCTAACAAATTTTACATTCATTCACGTTTATAATTTATGAGAATCTACTATTTAATACTAAAATTTTTTAAAAAAACAGCGGAAATATTTGAAGTAACTAAGAATGTCGAAGACTACCAAACATCTATTCCGAATCATATGTATCATCGAGTTTTAAAACCGGTAGAAGCACTTCCACCAACTCATCCAGAAAATTCGCTTGAATAAGTGGTATGCTTTCATCCTTGAATTTCAAACTGTCATGAACGGTAGCACATCCATAAATGCTCAGAAAGTAAAGTTTTGGGATTTCTCTATCCAGATGGACCGCTTACAAGTTAGCTCTTTCAAAACACTCAAACAATCACTCTTTCAGTTCGTTACTTACAAACACATAACGTAGTCAGATTTCAGTATCGACTAAAATTTCCATTCTCACAGGTTTTTTATTTTCTTCGAATCATTTGCTATAAGTATTACAGTTATTATTATAATGATGATACCACAATACAATTTAATAAGGGACAATCACCGAATTATAGCGACATAATATAAATAATAAATAAAACCAAGTCCACATGAATTTCAGAAAGCTGCTATCAAAAAATTCAATGGCAACAGAAGATGGCAGTGAAAAACTCTGAACTTATGGTAAAGAAATGAAACAGAACGAAATACTGTAAAGGGAAACAGAAAAGAGACATAAAAAACTGAACGATGAGGACCGATCATCCGCAACTATCCATCTTTTTCGGACCATTTGGTTTAAGCCGCATGCTTGTCCCACTCCAGCGCAATCCAAAACATTTAATAATCCAAAACATTTAATACTTGAAAAATTTCTTCCAAATTCTTATACCAGTCTGCTGTGAAATACAACAAAAACCACGTCAATCGCCGAAACATTATTTTTGGATCATGCATTCGCTGCATTCCAAAGATTTCTAATATTAAATTAGAAAGTCAAGATAATCTTCAATTAAATAAAAATACAGTATCAACTGAAAGTTTGCTTTGAGGAAGATTCAGAAAAACCGTATAATGTCCTCGGAATGAATAAACGAATAAATTAAACATACATAAATGGTCTCCTGGTGCATAGAATGAGAATCCGGAAAGCTACCAGACCTACAAAATATGCACTAATTTCATTTGGCTGATATGAACGCAAATTCAGCAGTGACAGCTCTATCAGCTCTATCATAACCACTGCAATAAGCAAGAGAAAAACTACTCCTACTCCTCCGTAATATATGCTGCGATACAATAAAATATGAAAAGATACGTAGCACCCCATACTGGGGGGTAGTAATTATATAACGATACTTATATAACGGGGTAGTAATGAAAGGGTAGTAATTTTTTTAGTAGTAATGAAAGGGTAGTAATTATACAACGATACTCAAATGTCAAGTTATTCATGAATAAGTCCTGCAAAATGACATCTGAACTTCTCAGTGCATCAAAATCTGCATGTTTAACCAAAAAAAAAAAAAAGAAAAATGAAAAAAGGAAAAAAAAAGTAAATTTGAAAGAGCTAAATTAATCGGAAATCAAAAACTTACGTTGAGAGAATGTTTAATCACTCGTGGAGAAAGTATTTGATCACTCCAGAGATGAAAGCATAAGCAATTGTTTTAGCACCTTAGTTTGTGAAGTTTCACGTATTTCACCTGCCAAAAACATTTCATCCACAACTGTATAGACCTAAAATAAGATTTAGGACTATTTTGGGTAGGTAATTCATTTTTAAGCAATCCTTTGGAAAACATATCGGTAAATAAAACATGCCCAGCTCAATATGATTATTAGAAAATAAAAATAAAAATAAAATGAAAACCGAAGTGACAAAAATTTGTCACTTTGACGAATCAAAATTACAGATGTTCAAGTTTTATCACGACGGAACTCCTTTAACAGATATGCTAACCACTGTTGTGGATTGTGCGTGTGTTACAACAGAAAACTTTTCAGTTCTTAGGAAGGTGCGTCGCAATGTAATGAAATAGTACACAGAGTTTAACACATACGCAGTCCATACAACACTGTGGCATAAAAAGTTTTTTCACAGTTCGACATATCTTACGTATTTAAATATGGTATGAAGTTTGACGTCATATCAAATTATGTGATTCTTTTTTAAAACCGATGTCGAATAAATAAAATCGAAAAAGGAGAAGCAGAAGAAATGTCTACCTTATAAAAATTGAAGACTAGATCAAGTTCGCAGACGTTGTGAAAGTATTCATTTAAAACTTCCACAAAATTATGTATTGCTTCCAGATAATACAAATTATTGTCTAGTATATCAACACAAATGCAGAAATACAGACCAGCGTAACGCCGATATACTATTTTGAAATTTCGAAACTGAAACATAACACGTTGCAATCTGCTGAAAATAAGGATCTTATTGCAAATTTCACGTTTCCATCGGATACGTACATGAATTTTCACCAAATATTACTTATTTGGCATGGAGGATTCCTTTTTCTTTACTTTTTCCTCTCTTCAATAATTTAAGATCAAAAAAAAAAACATCACTCCTTCCACAACCATTAAAGATGCTACTCCATTATAATACTGCCAAATAATGCTTAGAAAATCTTGAACCACAATATTCCCAGCTAGACTATTTCTTACGAGTTCAAACTACTTGAAATGCTACTAGTGTAATTGAAAACTAATTGAAATAAAAAAAAGTTAAAAAGTTACTAACACCGATAGCAAGTGGAAGAGAAAAAAATACCTCTACAAAATTCGTATGTTTAGCATCTCGTACCGTTACACAAGCATGTACTTCTTCTATCAATTTCTGTTTTTCATCATTATCAAAGTTCATGTACCATTTGGCCAATCGAGTTTTGCCTGCACGATTCTGGATAAGAATAAATCGTATCATTACGGCTTCCGTCAGTTAAATATAAAAGAAAACTGATGCAACACAATTATTTGGCACTCCTTCGATGTCTTGAATTGGTAGTAAATAAATTTTCTGAAACAAAAAATAAATCAATTAATTAAAATCATGGCGATATGAGTGCTTCCTCGAATGTCATTTGTGCTAACGTTCATGAAATAACTTTATATTCTGACCAATTCTTTACATCCAAAATTCATTCATATTAAATGTTAGTTACGGTTGCGTAAAATAACGTGTAGCCATACTGATATCAATAACTGGAAATGGAAGGATACGGTATACTATTATGAAAAGTTTAATAAGCGTCTAATACGTGCCATCCTAGTAGTGCATATATCCTCCTATTATCCACTTTCCTCTAACAATTCCATCTATACCAAGACATAAAGCTTATAAATAGCCGAAGTACAGTAATCCCAGGATTCCACATGAGTACCGCTTCATGTCTTCTAGCGCTATACTTGCGTGAAATACCTTTTATTTTGTTACAATTGGAAATCCTTCCATCCGATCATCATCGCAATTATCTTTTGACATTACAGATCGATTCTAGCATGTTGCATTAGCTTAATCTGAAAATTTAATAGCATTACGATTGTACATCCAAGAATTATCCACTCTCATAAATAACATTCACAACAGGTATATTAACAAACTTTTACATGATGTTAAGCTATTGGTAAATTTGATTAATTTTTGTTAAATCTGAAGGTTTGATGATAATTTAAAACAATCAAGGGTAATTTGTTAAAATCTTTTCCAATGACAACATTGTAAAAAAGAAATGTTTGATAAAGATTAGAAATTAATTACTTGAACATATAAAACAAATGAACTTGTAATTGTAAAAGTTGGTATGTAATAAAACAAGGAAAGGAAAAGTAAAGAAGAAAGTATCTACTCAGTAATAATTTAAGAAGTTTAAGAAGTTGGTATTGCAGAAAGATTAAACAAATTTAAATTAATTAAAAAAGTATGAAAATGCACCTTTAGCGTATTCATCATATTAAGTTGTTATCAATTAACTGAAATTCGGTTTATGTAAAGTTGTCTTTTCTTTTATTTACATTAATTAACAACAAGGAGTTAAAGTTGAAATTTGTAAATATATCTCAAATTAGGCATGAACACTTTTGCCTTTTTCTGAATATTTAATTCAGTTGACATAATCTGATGAAATTACATGTTCAATGAGGAATTTTGAAAAGTTTCCCCTATCTTATCTAAAATATTCATTATTTACATTTCATACATTTTTACTATTTTTTGTCACTATTTATATCATTCGCTGCAAATATTATTATAATTTTAAAATAATTTAGCATTATTAATATTATTAACACAACAATTTCAGCAAATATTATAAATTTCTGTTTTTTAATATTATCATTAAAAAGGATTATTAATCATTAAATTTAATTTTATCAATCAATAATGTGACGAATTTAATATCTTACGTAACATTGTTGGCAAAATATTACTTCACAATTTTACCGAATATTATAATATTTTAGAAATAGTATGAAAATGGGTAATGGTTGCAATTATTTTTATTATTTAAATGTTTTTAAAATCTAAAAATCATACGAGATTATGAAGTTAATATAAATATGCTAATAACCATTATAATAATGTTAATAATAATTGTTATTATTACAAAAATCGTTATTGATAAAGTTAGCATTATTGGCATTATTAGTATAATAATTATTATAGGGAACATTAGCTTTATCTTAAATCCGTTGTTGTCAAACAATCGATTGCTTATCTGATCCTTCATGATCGATTAATGATAATATCTGATGTCAAATTGTTAAACTAAATTTATTGATTATTACTTTATTACTATTCACCATTATTACTAATTATTATTGTTATTTTTGCTATTATCATTATTATTTTTATTATTATTATTATTATTATTATTGTTATTATTATTATTATTACTATTATTATTATTATTACTATTATTACTATTATTATTATTATTACTATTATTATTGTTATTATTATTATTATTATTACTATTATTATTATTATTATTATTATTATTATTATTATTATTATTATTATTATTATTATTATTATTCTGTCATGTCATGGTATAATTATTCAAGCGTTTCCGGACTATAAGAATCCCGATTGTGGAGCAGGAAAGAATGAAGCACCAGTAGGCCTGCAACCCTTCTATGTACCTTCTATGTACCTTATTTCTATGTATCCATGTACCTGGAAGGTTTGCCACCATTATCGACAGATGCTGATTACTGCTGAATTCGATCCATATATGGTGACACGGAACAATGATGGGTTGACCGCAATAGGTAAAATCATATTTATTTCATTAGTAATGCAACGAAGGAATATATTTTTTGTCAATACGGTTTGATGTAGCAGTTGATATGCTTTACATACGTATTGATTCATCTAAAATGAATTTCGATAAATTTAGAAGCGCTTAGTATGAGTTTTAAAATTTAACGTATTTTTAGGATGTGATTTTTACCTGAAAAAATTTGGGACATTGAAAGGATAGCGGATTCATGCTAGTTAATTTTGAATTGTAGAATAATTGAAGTTATTTATGAAGAGATTTATGCGGAAGGTCATTTGTTGATGGAAAAAGTTAACAGAATTCTTTTTATATTTATACTTTATGTTTTTGTCAAAAATGCTATTACTTTGTTAATATGTCGCATACAGTCTCTGCTAAAGGGATTGCAGTTGTGATGAAGCTTAACTCCACAGAATGATGCCCAATGGCCATTAAGGCTAATGTCAACGAAAGGACTACCAAACGAAAGAGGCTTGAGCTGGTGGGTAGAAGCAAAGAGGCTGAGCGCTATTTTATTCCTGATAAACTAAACGCTTTTTATTTTATTTTTTTATTTTTCAAAACTATGTTAAATATTAGTTGGATATAAATAAATCTAATTTTAATAATATAAATCTTGATTTATTTTTTCCTCCTAGACCAATCTTTGGATTTTTTTTCCAAGCGGAACGTGTAGATATGCTTTCTACTTCCAATTATCTGATCTGATCCATTTTGTCCACCTTGATTCATTGTCCACCTTGATTCATTGTCCACCAATTTCGTCTGATTACTGATATTTTCGGAAATATTTTTATCACTTTTAATAGCTTAAAGTACAGAATTTTATTGTTAGTTTACAATTTTATTTTAAATGAATTTCGACACGTTCTTTTTTACAGTGTAACAATTAATTGATTTGTTATGAAAGATGGAATTTAATTTGTAAATAGTTTTTAAAATTGTTTTTATCTTCTTGCTGGTTTACATTTCTTATTGTTTACAATCTTTGTACTAAGTTAATTGTGCTAGGTTAGTGTGCTATTCGAGAATGTGTTTTCATTGATATATTCGAGAATATTGATTTGATTGATTGATTATTGATATTTGGTAAAATGATCGTAGCTGTTCCTAATTTTCTAACTATAACAATTTATTGTTGTTCTAAAATTTTTTTCAAGAACTTATTGCTTCTGATTTTTTCTTTTTTTTTTTTTTTGATTTTAATTATCATCCATGCTTATCAGATATAACAATTTGAATCAATAAATTTATTGATTGTTATTTTTTTTTTGTGTATTTTATAATTTTACTATTTCAGTATTTTTTTTCTTTTGTTGTAAATTATTCATTAAACAATAATTATTCATAAATGATATTTTTATTTCTTATTTAGTGAAATTTTATTTCGTATTTATTTTACTATTAAAATTTAATTCCTTTAAATTATATTTCATTTTAATTTCATTTTTTGATGTAAATTATTTTTCGTTTATTTTTAAAAGGTTTTCTTTTTCTTTTTAGTAATAATGATTGATTAATAATATTAGTACTTGTTCGAAAGTTAGCAATGTTTACTTCCATTTATTGTATTAACCAGTTTTTTGATGTTTTTATTTATTATTTTTCAACAATTTCTTTCTCCTACAATGATTTTCTTTTTTAGTAGCTATTCCTCGTCATAGTTTTCATCAATAAATTTTATTGATTGTTATTATTTCTTTTCCTTTTTTTCCCCCCCCCCCCTCCCTGAATTCATTACTTTAGTGAATTGATAATTTTTCATTGTAATTTGAATGATTTACTTAGTAATTAATTAAATTAAATTTTTTCTTTTTGAGAAATTAAGTAGATTAGCATGTAAATTATAATTGTTTTGGCTTTTTTTTTAAGAATTGAAAAAAATTTTTTTCCATATGCCTTTAGTGAAATGATAATTTTTTGTTGTAGTTTGTGTGGTTTACTATTTTGCAGGTATTCCAATAATTAAACTAAATTGAATAGTTAAATAATTAGTTAAATTAAATAAATAACTATACTATACTATTTTGCAGGTATTCCAATAGTTAAATTAAATTAAATAGTTAGATAATTAGTTAAATTAAATAAATAATTAGTTAAATTAGCATACAAACTATGGTTATTTTGATTTCTTTTTTAAGAATTGAAAAAATTCTTTTTTGTGCTCCCTACTTTAGTGGAGTGATTAAATTTTTTTTTTTGTAATTTGTATGATTTACTATTTAACAGATGTTGTGATAATTAATTAAATTAATGCTGTGGTAATTAATTAAATTATTTAAAGAAAATGAAATAATGGTTATTTTTGCTTCTTTTTTAAGAATTAAAAAGATTATTTTTCAAATACTTGTTCATCTATGTTTCATGTTAATATTCTTTTGCTTTAGATTTGGCTCATAAGATTGTTCCGTTCATTTTATAGTGCATAATCAGTTTGTAGGCTTTTATAATTTCATTACATATTGAAATTTAACGGGATTAACATAAAAAAAGAAAATGTCATTTGCATTACTTTATTTATTAAATTCATCAGTTTATTATTAATTATTTTCATTTCGATATTTTAATGCAAATACAGGCTAAAGCATTTCAATTTTGTTTCGTTATTTTTTTTTTGTTTGTCCTTTTAATAATATTAAAGCAAAATTGTTAGCTTTAAAATTTTTGATTTTTTTCTACGAATATCTAAAATACAATAATTAATATTGCATTTAATATTTAAATATTCAATTTTTCAAAATAATTTTTTCACTTTCTCGACCATTTTAATAATTTATATTTTCTTATTTTTATATATGAAATAATTTAGTGTGATTTTTGTCACCAAATCATATTTCTTCCTATTTCGATATATCTCTTTAAATTTTCCTCATTTTATATTTTCTTACGGGAAATATTGTAAGATTAATTGAATCTAAAATGTCTATTTCTGATGACAATTTTTTATTTTATTCTTTCTTGCACCTTTTTTTATGTTCCTATATTAATTTAACTTATTGAATACCTTTTTCTTGTATCCTTCTTTTCCTGCATTTTTTTATTAATTATACTTATTCAGGTCTTCCTTTATACTTATTAGACGTGCGCTTTTTTCATTTTTTTTTATTTACCTTAGCTTTTCCATGCTTTTTTTTTTTATTAACCTGATTTATTTGGTGTTTTTTTATTAATTAAATTTTCTGTTCATCTTAACTTTGAATGCTATTTCGTCATTGACTAACTTTAATGCATGTTTCTTTTTATTCCTCTTCAACATGCACGCTTTTTTTTTTCTAATTTAACTTATTTGATGTTTTTTTTTCTTTTTTTATTAAGTAACTTTTCTGTTCATCTTAATTTTGCATGCTATTTCAGCATTGATTAACCTTTATGCATGTTTTATTTTTCTCCTTTTTTTTTTATTATCCTTAACTTTGCATGTCTTTTTTTTTTTTTGTTAATTGATTAACTTTTATGCATGTTTTCTTTATTTCTCTCAAATTTACATGCTTTTTTTTTTGTTAATTGACTTTTATGCATGTTTTTTTTTCTTTCCATTTAATCTAACTTATTTGGTGCTTTTTATTAACTGACTTTTTCCATTCCATTTTGTCAGGCCTTTGTTGAAATGTTCAAATTAATCGCACGAAAATAATTTTTTCTTTTTTTCTTTACATTTAAATTTTCAAATAAAAAGCAATCATCCATTAAAAAGCATGCTTTTTCAATTCATTCCATTATTTCTTATAACACTAATGTGATGATTACTGTTTACGTAAAGTAAGTGCAACATGCAGGAAGAGAATGCAAGTTTAAAAAAAAAAAAAAAAAAACTCCCACCTAACCAGAATGCAAGAGGGAGAAAGAATGTATGAGAGAGAGGTAAGTGAACAAATATATAAATATAATCAAAACTTCCAACAATCTTTCTCCTCTCATTTATTTTCTAGATTAAATTAAAAGTAATAAATCTCCTCTATGGTATTCTATAGTTTGCAAAATTTAAGAGCATCTTAAACTAGCATTAATATGTTAGCATCAATTTTGAAATTTTAAAAAAAAAATGTGAAATTAAATTTGCTATGTAAGAGAAGAAGAGAGATATTTTTGTTCAGTGAAGTAAGTGAAGGAATGAAATAAATGAACATGCCATTAATGCTTAGAGGAGGAAGTAATAGCAGTTAATGAAGCGATAAAGTGTTCAGAAGTTAGAGGGATGAGATAGAATGGGATGTAAAGCTTGTAAAAATATCAATGAGAGGATAAATGACATCGGAAGTAAGCAATAATAAAGGGACAGAAGTAACACTTCAAGGGGACACTTCTTCATCTTAAATGAACATGATGAAAGTTTGCTTGATAAGGTACACTTCCTAGTTTAGTTATTAAGCAAATTATTAGCAAAATAAATGAACGATGATTATAAAACCAGTAGTAATAGTAGTAGTAGTAGTAATAGTACATCATATGATTAGAGGAGTGTAAGGGTGCTGATGTGATGATGATGATGACATGTGATAAAATTGTGATGCTCTATGGATGTTGTCATTGTTGTGATGGTTTGCTGCTGGCGCAAACTAATGTCTTTTTCTTTTTATTGCAATGGTTAAATATGTGTTTCTTCTTATTGCATGCTAATGATTTGAGTATATTTTTGTTTAATAAAATTAAAATTAACTATTAATTTTATTGAGAAAATTATTTAATATTTGTTATTATTGCTTTTTCATTTCAGCATAACTGTCACATTTATTTGTCACTTTTCATTTAAACCTTCAAAAAATATGGGACATAATTAAATTCCTTTAATTCTAACATCTTTCATTTCTTTTAATTATTCAACATTAGTACGATATTGATCTAAATGCGTTTTTATAATTATATATATATATATATATATATATATATATATA